TGATGACTGGAAGCTGCCAGGAAAAGTTGTTTCAATTCCCATATAGCTGGGTGAGCAGGAAAGAAAGGCTGGAGTGGAATTATAGGATTCTGTGCTGCACTGTGAAAAATTGCTTCCTGGAGCTGAGAGGGGGAGGGAATGTTTCTCCATGAAAGAGAGAGTCCTATTTGTGAACTAGATTTCCGAGAGATGCAGGCTCTCTGTATCCCCACCCTCACCCTGGCTGCCTTTTTCTCATTGATTTTCCACAGCATATTTTTCATTCCATTCCACTGGGCAACTAATTAAAGCAGTCCATTTCAGAAGTGAAATGAGACCCGAAATAAGCATGTGAAGTTAATGTAGCCAAGGGGCTGTTAATAATGTTTATTTATGACCATGAAGCAACTTTATGAATGTGATGAGCAAATCTGGCCTTGGCTCCATCCTTCTATTAGTCTGCCTAAAATAATATCTGGGGGGGGCAATTTTTCTTAGAGTGAAGGTGAGAAAGTTCATGCGTGGAGCAGAGCTTGGAAAATTTAGATACATCTGCCGGACATTGGCCAAATTCTGGTTGGTTTTCACATAAGGTTTGTGTAGCTTGACACAGCCTATTAACAAGATGCTGAAGTGTGTTTCAGTCACATGCCTGGCCATGTACCCAAGATGCACCTCTGCACTTCATCAGTTCCCTCCGTGGCAAGTTGTGTAAATAAATAACTCTTCACAGAGGCTTTTGATGGCAACCTCAGATGAACTTGTCATCTGCCCTACCCATCTAGCCATGCTTGCTCATCTTGTGATTCTGGAGCTGATTTATTTTATTTTATATTTCATTATCGTTATTATTGTTTGATTTATTGTTACTGTTTCTTTATCGATTTTTAACTGCTGAGAATAGTGCTTTGCACTAATAAGACTGTATGATAGACAGACAGACGGACGGACGGACAGATAGATCGTACATAAACACAAATAGAGTTCTCACCATTATTTCACTGGTATTGTCCGGGGACAGACATTTTGAAATATGAAGGCCAAGGCATTTCTAAAGTTTCAGTTGTTTTTTTTTACCTAATATGTTTTTTAACCTTTTTTACAGACTTTTTTTACAGACTCCAGTTGCTGGAGAAATCCTGCAATTGCTCACTCTGATACATGTTCTGCTATTGGCATATACTGTATATACGTGTGTGTGTGTGTGTGTGTGTGTGTGTGTGTGTGTGTGTGTGTGTGTGGAGGGGAGATAGTATTTGTGCTAAGGTGTAAGATGGCACAGAGTAGTGGTCTCTACTACAGTGTATAGATAGATAGATAGATAGATAGATAGATAGATAGATAGATTAATGGTAACAATAGCAATAAAGTACTCAGACCTTGCCGCTGTAATACATGCTACTTAAGCAGCTTATGCATAGTCCCCAGATGCTGCAGCTGTGTTGATAGGACAGGGCAGGAAAGACAAAACAATGACTTGGAACACCTTTCTGCTGTAGTCTTTCACCATATCAAGTGCAGAGATTACACTGTTTTCTTTTCTCCGTTGGCAGGTCATTCCAGTTCTTGGGTGGCCTCTCTTGACCACCTAGCTGAGCTTGCTTTGCATATAGATTCAGTCCAGGTTTTGATCAGCTGCAGAATTATGGGTCTACTGGAGAGAGACAACTTTCAGCATGTTCACACCATTATCAGTTCAGTTTCTAAACACTAGAGGCATATAAGCAGGGTAGGAGTGTCAGTGTTATACTGTTGACCCCACTGACATTGTAAAGGTGATAAGTGGTTAATTTGTCTATTACAAAAATAGACATAATATTATTATTTTTTTATCTTCCACACTCCTTTACCATGAGAAATTGAACTAGTTCTACTCTATGCAACTGGAGACATGTCAAATAACAAATATACAAAACAGGGAACAAACTTCCTTTCAACTGTGGCTGATCTCCCTATTGACCAGCACTGGATTCAGGCTGTTCCCTGAATTCTGGGCCTCAGTTCTATCTGGGGCAGAGGAAGAAAGAGCCATATGAGAAAGAATGTGAAACATTAGCTTACCTTGCCCTTGCCACTCACCAAGACATTCTAAGAGTTATACTCGAGAAAAGCAACTTTTCTAAGCTCTACATGAGTTCCTGAAAATGGTAGAAGGAGAGAAAGCAAGGAGATGTGTGAGCTTGAAAGAAAACTCTTGTCTCCTCTCCCCACTCCTTCTCTGTGCCTCCCTTCCCCATTCTTCAAACCAGTCAGGTAATCATAGAGAAGAGGGAGTTAAAGGGTTAGCAGGTGAGATGCCATCAGGTTTCTCTGATAGTAGCTGGATATGGTTTGATGACCGTCAATCATCAAGCCCTGTTGCAGTTGTTCTGCCACTGGAAGACTGAATAATTTAAAAGGGTTGGCTGTGGAACATGGTCAAAAGCTGTGTGTCAGTAGACATTCATTAAGTATTTTTAATATGGCTTTCCTTGTATATATACATTTCATTCTGATAGTCACCAGAATTGCTGGAAGGGATACTTTTCTTCCTCGTGTGTCATAATCGAAAATACATCAATTGGATCTGCACTATAAATATAAGTATTAAAATATTCCATTTTCTCCAGCCAGAATGTAAATGTGTGCTATATAGAACTGAAGTGCCATTTAAAGATCTTGTCAGCAGGCCTGTCTATGCTCTATTAATAAAGTGTATATGGATTCAAGGAATTTTAGAAATTTATAGGGAAAATTGCTCTTGCTAAACATTTAACAAAGGAATCAAACCTTTATGGATTTAGGGTGAATTGTCATCTGAGTCATGGAGATTCAACATAAAATTGCTGAAACAAAGTACAGTGGTGCCTCTCAAGACGATGTGAATTCGTTCCGCGAAAATCACTGTTAGGTGAAAACATTGTCTTGCGAAATAGGTTTTCCCATTGAAATGCATTGAAAACCTGATAATCCGTTCCAATGGGAATGGATTGTCATTGTAAAGCGAAAATTGCCATAGGAAACATTGTTACGTAAAATGCGGTTCCCAAGCGAAGACAGCCGTATAACAAAACAGAGACCATTAAAAGACACGTATAGCGAAGCAAGACCAAGCTGTCAAAAACATCGTAAAGTGAAAAACAGGGACCTAAAATTTAACCGTCTTGCGAGGCAAGGTCCCTAACATCATAAAGCGAAAATCACCCATAGGAAACATTGTTAAACGAAGCGCAAGATCACTCCGAAAACCTCATCATAAAGCGAATTCATCATCATGCAACACAATCGTCTTGCAAGGCACCACTGTACTTTTGTTTAGTTGAGGCCTCTAAAAGCCATCTGTTCAGATCAGAGCTTGGGGAAGTTACTTCTCTGAATTTTCCAGGCAGAGTGACCAATGGCTATTATACCCGAGGGATTCTGAGAGTTGTCCAAACAGGGAAAATATTTCCACACTCCAATTTGAATAAAGCCAACATACAAATTAGATAATTATCCTAATTACATTAAAATGACCAGTGTGAACATCAAGCATGCCTCTACTTTCCCCCCTGCTTGTTTTGTTTGTGTCCATATATGCTTTTAAAAAGCATTATCAGAATGTGTGCATTTTAAAAATGGCAGAACATATGGTACTAAATTATGATTTACTTTTTTATTTGAATCTATCTGAAGTGTTTTTGTCTGAAGGGATTGGGCAGAACTGTGGCTCTCCAGATATTGTTGGACTCCAGCTCCTACTGGTCCCAGTAGCCATGGCACCACTGATGATGGAAGCTGGGTTCTCAGAAGAGCTTGAAGGCACCATTTCCCCCACCCCTGTTCTACTGGCAATTCATTTCATTGGGTGATTCTCCCCAAAGCAGATTTTTTCTCTTTCTCGCCTTCCTTTATACCCCTAATAATTTTAGAAATCTCTCTTACACTCTTAGTCATCCATCATTTCTCTAATGCTTTTAAAAAATAATCTCCTTTAGCTTTTCTTGTACAGAATTTGCTCTAAGCCATTGATTAGTATACTATCTTTTCCCTAGTGTTACAATCTTTTTCCTGGGGTGGGGAGAGAGAACACAGTCAGAACAGCTTCCACAATACTATACACCACTGCACCACAGATTTCTACAAAGACAAAATCCTGGCCTTTTTATTTTTCATTCCACCCCCCCAATAATTCTTAGCATTGGCTACATTCAGGTATAATGCAAAGTCTTTTACACATAAACATGATCCATAGCTGTTATCCAAGTAAACAAACACCAGTGGGTGGCTAAACAGCAACAAAGTCTGTGGTGACTGCCTCTTGCATCCCACAATAGTGCCTTCCCTGACAGCATTTTCAGCCACAGGCTTCTCAGCCTTTTGACTAAAGATCAAGTGTAATTTCCTGGTTTGTGTGTAATGGTAAGCCAGGCACGGTAGAAACTGAACCGATAAGTTCTCCCATTTGTGAGGAGAGGAGGAGGAGGAGAATACAACCCTGAGGCTTTACTCAACTTTCTAGAGGTTTATCTACACATTTTTGGCTCTTAACTTAATGTAAATAATATCATTGTATATATACACACCCCACGTGTATACATATACTGTTTATCTCTTAGTAGTGCTTTGTGCATCTTCTGTAGTGGGCTGTTCTGGACAGACATTCATGCCACAATAAACATGCCGATGCTTAAGGTGCTACAATATTTTTCTGTTTTTGCTAATTTTGCTCAACTAAAATTCTCACCTGCAAGTTTATACTTCAGCTATAAAAAGTTTTATGCTCATTGTCTTGTTTAATAATTCCAGTATTTTCTATCTGTTTACTGATCGTAATATATTTTCTTATGTTTTCTGCTTTAAAAAAAAGTTAAGTTGGTTTAATGATCTGGTGCTTCTCAAGTGCCCGGACAGGTTCAAGTTTAAAAAGAGGGAATAAATTTTGAACAAGAGAAGCCATTTGTAGGGCTGTGAATCAGGGTGGTCAACTGTTCTGGGTGGTATACTGTATATAACTGCCCATTGTAATATATAGCTTACAGTTTTTGCTTTTGTCAATGCAGGGCAGCACAATTACTTATGCGCAGGACGGAATGACTGCATAATTGACAAGATTCGAAGGAAAAACTGTCCAGCTTGCCGATTGCAGAAATGTCTTCAAGCTGGAATGAACTTGGGAGGTAAGCAACCTAAGTGTAATAAAATGTTCATTTTCATTTCATCGAGCAAAACAGTTTTTAGTATGTCTTCCTAAACGGGTATCAGCTGGATGATCTCTGAAGTTTTATCTTGAATTACTCAACTAAGAAAGAAGTATTATACAAAGGCAACTAAAATCCTATTGTCGTTCTGAGTTTTCTGAAATATGTACTTTATAGCTCAGAATAAGTAAGGTGGGTGTTAGATGATGACAGTAATTTTAGTGGAGTTTCACACAGCTAAGAGGATTAAAGCATCAGGAGTTGTGCCTTTTCTTTTCTTTTTTCCTGGCGGTGCTATGGGAATTTTCGTAGAGAATATCAAGATGGATTTAGCCAAAAGAAAGTTCAGGGGATGTGCTGTTCTTCAGATTTTCAGTTCGTTTCCAGGCTGCTGAAGAACGAATTACAGTAGAAGTGGAGGAGTCTGAAATATTAAATGGATTTTTAAATTGCATTATCAGGATGAGATTGACTGAAATCCAGTAGTAAATTGCAACTAAACGCTTTTATTACTGGAGATTTGGTCAGTCAAGGCCTCTGTAAATTCCATGGGTTCAATGGGTCTATTCTAGACACAACTTACTATTGGATGTATTATTTATATTACTTGTTATTATATTTTGCATTCAGCTGTGAATGTACAAAGGTTCCTTGTTAGGCAAGTCTGTTGTCAATTTCCTGATTCAAGCAGAATGGGTCTGGGCCAAACTGGGATGCTAGAGAATCCCCACTGCCTCCAAATGTATATTTCCACTGTGTCCTGCTTGTAGCCTTATTATATAGGAGATGGAAGGGAGCATTCCATGCCCAGTTAAAGGAACAGTGTCAGGTTTGATGTACCCAATACCTCTTGTTTACATCTGTGTCAAGTACTGTGGTACATACAATTCATTTCCTAAATCTACTCAACAAAGTTGAACACAGCAGTTTACTTCATGGGCCTAGGCAATGTAGGAACTTGTCTCTTTGTTCTCATTCTATGGTGCAGCTTTGCAATCCAATTTAAGAACAGAAGGGGACATCGCTACATTTCTGGGGAAATGCAGTGATCTACTTCCTTCCTCTTGTCTCATGCAGCGGAATAAGTTTGCCCAAATTTGTAGGCCTTTCCCTCCGTGTCACTGTAGCACGGTTAAGGGGGGGGGGACTTTTTAGTCTGCATTTCTGACCATGAAATTGGAGAAACTGTTTTGACTTCACTTCTCAAACTGTGAAGTATAATGGAGTAAGTGAAAGCCAGTGTGGTGTAGAACGTTGGACTAGGAGACCTGGGTTCAAATTCCCAATTGGCCATGAAAACTCACTGAGGAGTAGCAATGTTAAACTATTCATTGAACATCTCGCACACCTGGAAAACCCTGTGAGTGTCCTAGTGGCTTGGTAACAACAATGATGGAGTAAGTGTGTGCTTCAGAAGATGTAATCAATTTGGCAGTTTCTTTCAACTCAGAGAATGACTACTGCTCTTGAATATTAGAAGTAAGTGACACATAGAAATTTTTCCCCTGCATTTGCCCATAAAACTTTTATTGTGTACATACTGAAGATTATTTGCTGAGAAAATATCGTTGATTTAAATAGATGGTAGAATATTAACGATGAGAAACTAGGCAAGAAGGTGACGAAGCTCTATCCTTTAGTATCCAGGAAAAGAAAGATGGTTGAGGCTGTAGTCAAGAGTCAGGACCAGGGAAGAATAGAGTTAGAAAGAAAAATAGGAATTTAGTTATTGGGATTCATGAAAGTCAAACAGGCAAATTAGTTACATGTGGAAGCAACAGGAGAGAAAGGCAGAAACAAAGACCAATATTTGACTCTGTAGAAATGCCATTTTAAAGCACATAGCAGGAGGAGTGGTTACAGATGCTTTTATTACATAAGAACATAAGAGCCCTGCTGGATCAGGACAAGGGCCCACCAGTGGCCTCTGGGAGCACACAAGACAATTAGATACCTGTCTCCTGATACCCCTCCCCTGTATCTGGCATTTTGAAGTAGCTTCTTTTAAACCCTGGAGACTGTACCTCTCCATCATGGCTTGAAACCTGTGATGGACTTTTCCTCCAGAAAGCTGTCCAATCCCCTTTTAAAGGCTTCCAGGCCAGATGCCATCACCACATGCTGTGGCAAGGAGTTCCACAAACTAACAACATGCTGGGTAAAAAAATGTTTTCTTTTGTCTGTTCTCACTCTCCCAACACTCAATTTGAGTGGATGTCCCCTGGTTCTGGTATTGCGTGAGAGGGAAAAGAGCTTCCCTCTATCCACTTGATCCATCCCCTGCATAATTATATGAGCAAGGGAACAGTGCCAAGGAAGTGTAGGTGGGGCAGAGCATGATGGAGGGACATGTTTTTTTAAACGGATCTTAGAAGTTTAGTTTCACCTTGAAAATGATTTTAAAACATCCATCCCCTGCATAATTATATTAGCAAGGGAACAGTGCCAAGGAAGGATAGGTGGGGCAGAGCATGATGCAGGCACAAGTTTTTTTTTTTTAAACAGATCTTAGAACTTTAGTTTCACCTTGAAAATGATTTTAAAATATAACGGCCAACATACTGTTATAGAAATGCAGAGTAGAAGGGCAGTTACACTGTACTACTGCAGTCAAGCCTCTGCTCATGACTTGAATTTGATCCTGATGCGTTCATAGTAGGCAGCGCAAGGTTGACTCAGCCTTCCCACTTCCAGGATCAGTAAGGTCAGCTAGCTGGGGGGAGGGGAGGGAGGCAAGCTGTTGTTTACATAATTATGTTGTAAACTGGCCAGAGAGTGCTCTAGCACTGTGGGGCAGTATATAAGTCAAAATTAGAACATAGGTACTTCACTTTTCTGGCAAGCTCTCCATCACATTCCTGCATTTGCTCTGGGTGCAGGATCCATCACAGAATGGATTGCATGATGAGGAGCCTGCTGGAGCAGGGGAAAACACATATGCACCTGCTGTTCTGCTCTGTACTTTCTGTGATGCAATATCAGTCAGATTCTTTCATTGTTTTTTTCTTTGATGTTATATATTTTTTTCCAAACAGTGGTGGTGACTCATTACTTTCTAAAGCAATCCAGAGAGTAACAAGTTTATTTCTAACATTTAATCTTTTAATTAGTTCAGAAAAGCTGTATGTCTGTGCGGGGCATATCACCGTATTGATCAGTGTGGTTAGAAATTCACAACACTTCTGGATTTTACCAGGTAATTCAGGTGAAGTTTTCTGGACTCAGAAAAAAGCTGAGTTTATGAATTATAGGGCAGCGAAGGTTCTGCAAATAAAAAAGCAAGCAAACAAGAGAACAGTATGTGCTTAACGTGTGTATGTTGCAAATTGTGCCCAATTGATCTGCGCACTGTTCAGATGTATATTACTAACATATTGAGGATTTTTCTTGGAATGGATAGTATTAAAGGCGTTCATGATGGAATTTGAAAAGAAGTGACCACAAGATTTTTCTATTTATCTTCCATGTTGTCATTTAGGGCATGTTCACTCTGGCCTTTAATGTAATCGGAGAGTCTGTGTAGCCTGGAGCCAGACCATCTAGGGCCATGATCTTGACAGTTTCCATAAATTAAAGTTGCACCTGGCTGTGCTTGGAAGACAGAGCTGCAAATAAATCCAAGTAGCTTGCAGTAATTGAGTTAGTGATTAATCATCAGGTGTTATATAGATATATTCTTTGCTCAGCATTCTCCTTGACATCTAGGTCTGCAATTGGAAGACATTGTGTTTCCTCAACTGTGTTTCTCTTTCAGTTTTTATGCCCCTAAACATGGCTGCGTTCTCCATGACCCATCCTAACGCTTCAGCTTCTCTCCTTCACTATGCAGATCCATCTGGGATCAAGCTTGACAAACCTCACACAGCCAAGTACACATGCCTGTGTGCGGGCAGGCAAGTGCAGAACGAAGCCTCAAATGCAGCCATTTTAAAAGCCTGTGTAGACCTCTCGACCAATATGCGACACAGTTTTAAAATGCATTAAAAGTGTCCAAGAGGACACACACACTGACCCAAAAACCATGTGACAACTATGGTAGCCACACTTTAAAAAGCCCAATCCTTCATCCTATTTATTTCAGTACAGTGGGGTCTCTACTTAAGAACGTCTCTACTTAAGAACAATCCAACTTAAGAACAGCTCCATTTGCTAAATTTTGCTTCTACTTGAGTGTCCCAAGAGGACACACAAACTGACCCAAAAACCATGTGACAACTATGGTAGCCACACTTTAAAAAGCCCAATCCTTCATCCTATTTATTTCAGTACTGTAACTGCAGCCTGTGTTGACTATATTTTATCCTCTTCCCCTATTTTTGTTTTCTCTATTCTCTGTTTTCTTGAGAAATGTCTAGAATAGAATAAGATATTAACTTAAATAAATAAATAAATACACATTTTCCTTCCAATTACTTTTGTGTGTATTTATTTTCTGGTAAATTTAGAATGAGATTTTTCCATTGCTAGTCAAAATCTTATGGTTGTTACTGTGGAATTGCTAGACATGTGATCACATAGTGACCACATAATGAGGGAAATGTGAATTCATTTGCATTCACTTGCTGTGAAGTTGCACCTGATAATTCAATATGGCACGATTTAAGTGGCCACAACAGAAAACAGGAGACAGCACTTGTTTTAGAGGTGTCTTGGGAAACAGGATTTGCTCCCTGGTGTGTGGATACGAAAGTGTGTGAGCGCTTGCATACACAGCTAATGAGGCAAAAGATGAAGGAGAAGATGCTTTCTGTATGTTTTCCTGTGATTAACTGTGCTTTCTTTTCTGCATTGGTTCAAAGCAATCACACACTTTGAAATGAAGTGAAAGGATTTAACTTTTTAAAAGTAGGAGAATTCCTGTTGGCAAGATGAAACTACAGATTGGCCTGTGGGACTCCAGGCTGATTCTCATTTCTTGTCACATCAGGTGATCAGTAGGAAAAAAGCAAATCAGCCTGCCCCAAACCTGTAATATTTAC